GGGAAAATGAAGTCACTGTGCAGGGCAGAAATCCTGCGAGGTGCTGGGGTGGGGTCCTGAGCCTTTCTTCACTGACTGGATAGCCCTGCATTCTCACTCGCCTGCCTCCAGTCCTCAGCCACACACGACTGCTGGACTCGTGCCATTCACACACCCAGCTGTCTTCCTTTCCGAAATATTAACATGTGGGAAACCGCTCGCCCACCTAGAAACGTGCCTCGCCCCTTCTGCGCCTCCCCACCCGTTTCCCCCTTGTGCCACCGCCGTACGCCAGCAGCGGCAGCAACGGAGCGAGCCTTATTCCGAGGAGCTGTCCATGACCTCATGCACAGCTGAGCCTTCCTTTCCTCTCACCTCTGGGGGTGTGTGTGAGGGACAGAGAGCTCCTATAATAATCCCCGCGCTGGTGCGCTTCGCTCTCTTCCCACCCCCGACAGATACGGAGACGCGGGCGCGCGCATACACACACACAGAGAGAGAAGAGGCTCAGCCTGGAGGCTGGCGCTGCACTAAGCCGGGCGGCCGCGGCGCGCCTGAAGAAGCGCCCCAGCTCTCCAACCGCCAGGGCGCAGCGAGGGAGCCGAAGCGGCGGCTGCGGCGGCGGCCTCCGACTTTTTCGGGGAAGGTCATTCATCGACCAGTCGCGTGCCCTTCTTCCCGCCCTTCCCATCCTCTCTGTCTCTCTCTCTCTCTCTTTCTACGCCCCCCCCCCCTTGCAGCGTCCAGCCTATTGCAGGTTCGGAGGCGGGCTGCTGAGGGAATCCGGGCGTGCTGTTTTGGCCGGCGACGAGACCAGCTCTCCTTCTCCCCTCTGGCCGAGGCTGCTGCGAGAAGGGCGGCTGCAGGCGGGACGGAGGAAGGTGAAAGGAAGAGGCGAGAGGGACCTCGGGGCATGAGCAGCCTAGCGCCTGCCTTCCGTTGGCGCCGGCCCGCTTGAGGCCGGCAGCTGGAGGAGTAGCAGCAGCAGCAGCAGGAGGCGGCGGCGGCGGCGGCTGCTGCTACCAGACCCAGCACGGCGGGACTGGAAGGAGAGCCGCACGGGGACAGCGAGGAGGACAGGAAGGAGAAGCCCCCGAGCGGGAAGATGGCTTCCCCCACCTCCCCGGGGGTCCCTGGAGGCGGGACGTCGCCCCAAGCCAGCCAGCCACGCCTTCGGCAGGTGGGTGCGCTCACACGGCCCTGGGGAGGAAGGGCGGGAAACGCCCTCGGAGGGGCGCTTTTACCTCAGGCTGCAGCAGCCGGAGGCGCGAACGGCCTCTCCGCGGACGCGCGCAGTCTTTCACTCACCCGCCCTGCGGCTACGAGCTTAACTTGCACCTGTTTGAAGGAACCATATTGCGAATGGGTGGGATGGGGTGGGGTCTGCTTGGAAGTCAAGGGGTTCGGGATAACAAACTTAGGCTGGCATGTGCAACGGGGTGGCGGGGGGGGGGGCGACGGACGCTGTGAGTCCAGCTTCCATCCATCACACCTCTCCACCTGTCCTCTGTCTCTTCATGTTGCCACACTGTCTGGCAAAACCACTCAAAACGGCGGTGCTCTTTTTAATACGTTGATGTTTCTCAGGTCATCAGGACAGACGCTACTTATTTAATATATTTGCACCCCACCTTTCTTCCTTCACTGAACTTAACATGGTCTTACAGGGGCTTTTCAAGTGGGCACCCACCCAGGAAGTGGGTGCCCACCCTGATCTAATGGCTCCTTAGCTTCAGCAGGGTGACTGCACCATAAGCCATCAGGCCCATGCCCTAGGAATCCTCCACACACACAGCACACCTTGATATGGACATCTAGCCTATGGAAAACTAACAACACGGTTTAGGCATGTCAGACAAGTATCTTGACTTAAGTAATGGCACATGGTGACCATACACACTATGTTGTTTGGAAGGGTCATGTCTTAGTGGAAGAACAAGTCCTTGACATTTCCAGGTAGGGCTGGGTATGCTCCCCATCTGAAACCCTGGAGGGCGACTGTCAGTCAGTGTTGACAACCCTGAGCTATATGGACCAACAGTCTGACTTTGTATAAGGCACCTTGCTATGCTGCTTTGTCTCGGACAGATGTTAGCATAGTAGTTTTCCCTGACTGATAAGAGCCTACAGACCTTATGTGCATGCAAGCACCTACCATGGTGCTACAGCTGCATAATACTACAGGCTGACGTGCAGTGCAGACCATTAGCCAGACACTGCATTTCGCAGATTTCTTTGCAGACACATGATACAGATACTACTATATACAAACACATAGCATGGCAACCCACACGCCAAATACTGCAGCACTCCACCCCCCCCGAGAACTGTACTGATCCTACACAAACCAAACGCAGTGTTGCATGGCTTACAGACCACACAAAAGATATAGCGAGGCCCATCTACACATTTATACTGATTGGCACAGTGCCTGGCCCTGCACTCACTTAAGTCCAGCAGTAGGTAGTTCCCACATGAAGGATTCAGCTCAAGTGCTTCATTCTGACATCGTAAACAATTACCCATTTCCCATCAAACATCCGACCAACTACGTACTGGCAGCACCAACCATTCAAAGAAACTAACCATCTCATAGATGAAAAGATCAGATGGAATAAAAAATTCATTGAGGTACAAAACGCATTGCTTGCAGATCACAGGCCAGTCAAAGACAACACAACTGCAGACAGCATGCTGCATGGCACAAAAGAGCTGTGCTGTTTGACAGACATAAAAAAGCACTACCTGCCTTACACAGACACGCCATAGCCAACATGTTATTGAGGAATGCAGATTGCAGTTTACACTGCATGACAATTGCTGCAGTCTTTGCGTGTCTCTGGATGAAAGTGGAAGTGTGTCACAGAATCAAGAAAGTATTGCTGATGCATGGGGAGTGCAGAGGTCTGAATTCTATATTTTGCTGCGTATGCTGCCACCATGCATTTGTTATACTATGAAGATAGTGAAGTTTGGCTCTGGTATAGGTAACAGAGAAAGGTTCTTTCCTTGGTTACCAGCTCAGCCTGGATTTTGTCATTGGTAAACAACACAGGAGACGACAGGAAGGGAAATGTCATTTGCAAGAGGTCTAAGCTGCAGTACCAGCAAAGGAGAGATTTCAGTGAGTGCTGAAAGTTTATAAACATGAAGGTTTATCTTATTATCTGGTAATAACCTTTATATTAGGCCTTCAAAACAAAAACAAAAACAAAACGACTCTTGAACTTCTAGTGTAACAATTTTACTGATACAGAGCTGGATGTAGGCTTAGTCATGCTTAGAGCACATTCACTGAAAAGAAAGGGACTTGGAAATACTGTAGGTACACAGTACCTGGACAGCTCATTTGAATTGTACAGAAATTCATACTGCCCTTGATTTTTTCATTCTGTTTCATAACAGAATCCTGTCCCAACCCCACCTTTCTGTTGCCTTACTTCCTTTCACATTTTCTCCTTTTACTGATATAAACTGACTCATGAGAAAAGGTAATGTCTAGCTATGTGATCTGAATTTTAATGAATGTGGTCTTCAGTGACATCCATTAAATTGTCTAAAATGAATTTGTCTGCTGCAGAGAACAGAGCTCTGCAAAATTCTATTAAGATTCTGACAGTAACCACATGCCTTTGTCAAATGTGTGTGTGTGTTTGTATAATAAAACACAGATATTAAAAGTGATATCTGTCACCTTTTGCTTTAATTTATTTCTGCCAGAATTCTAGTTTTCATACTGATACCTTATAGCAAATGATATTTGTTCATATCAAAAGCTAATTGATGAACAGCTGTTGTATACTTTCAGTTTTTATAGTTGGACTGCAGCTATGCACAGATGCAAGTTGCTAATTAATAATACAACTTTTCCCATAGTATTTTCTCCCATGCATTATTCCTCTGCATATATCTTATGGACAAACAAAAAAGTAAAATAAGGCGAGAGAGGTACCTTGCAGGGAACTGGTGCATCAGTTTGCATATATATTTAAATGTTTGCTAGAATTGTTTGTCATTCTCCACCTGGCCTGATTTTTATGCAGTGTGATACAACAGAAATGCTGCCAACTTCATACTGCTAAAAAGCATACACTTATATGTGTACACGTATTTTGGAAGTGCTTCAGAAGAAGCTGGGAAAAAAAGAGACTGCATTCTTGGAGGATTACAGTTTGATTATAGGTGCCATGTTGGGGTTTCTTCTCTTATATATTAAACACATTTGTCAAGGAATTATATGGTAACGTAAAAGGGTTTGGTGTTTGGATCACCGTTAAAAATGAAGATGATTTTTATAACAAGTAACAATGACTCTGTATTGAAAGATGAGGCTGGAACTTCATAATTTATTTCTGTCTCTGGTCAGAAACACCATTATAACAGACTCTTTTAACACTTCTTCTGGCACTTTGTGTTCCACTGCCAGCTGGAAACTGGAAGTGGGGGTAGGGAGAGAACTGAACTTGTACCAGAGCTTAATTTTAGAAGCAAGAAAAGTAATTGCAAAGTTATTTGGATCAAGTAATCTTATTCTTCCTTAGGAGGGCAGTCCAGGGAAAATAGGAGGCATTGGACCTCCTTCTCCAAAGGTCATTCAGCTCTCACCACAAAGAGGAAGATATGCTAGGAGCATGTTGTTGTTGTTGCTGTTTAGTCATTTAGTCGTGTCCGACTCTTCATGACCCCATGGACCAGAGCACACCAGGCACTCCTGTCTTCCACTGCCTCCCGCAGTTTGGTCAAACTCATGTTCGTAGCTTCGAGAACACTGTCCAACCATCTCATCCTCTGTCGTCCCCTTCTCCTTGTGCCCTCCATCTTTCCCAACATCAAGGTCTTTTCCAGGGAGTCTTCTCTTCTCATGAGGTGGCCAAAGTATTGGAGCCTCAGCTTCACGATCTGTCCTTCCAGTGAGCACTCAGGGCTGATAGGAAGGTCCATTGGTCCAACTAGCTCACTTTTGTCTACATTGATGGCAGCAGCTGTCCAGGGTTTCAGGTAGGGGGTCTCTCCTACCTACCTGGAGATGCCAGAGATTGAATTTGGAAACTTCAGCTTTCAAGGCAGATGCTCTACCATTGAGCCATGGCCTTTCCTCATCCCCTTCCTTGAAATGCCCACATCCCTAACTCAATAACAACATCGGTAGAGCAAAAAATGGGGAGATGACCAGAAGAAGGGTTGGATCTGAAGGATTCCATGCCTTCCCAGTTTATCAACCTGTCGCAAAACCAGAGATTTCTTTTTCCACTCATTGTTTCCAATGGAAAGTGAATAGTTCTAGAAGAAAATCATTTAAAAGAAATCTGAGTGCTCCTTTGCCCTCTCTTCTGCTCTGCCAGTGAAAACCCAGCAACTTGTTGGATGAGATGGAATAACTGACTTAATTTCCCCAATTCCCTAGCCTCAGGATTGCATCCAAAATGTGCTTTCCAGCCTTCTAAAAGAATAAGACTGAATTTGCAGAAGATGTTTGGCTTGTTATGGGTTGGTGCCTGGAAACTGTGACTTCAGTTGTGGAAGTGCTGTAGAGGGTGTCCTCTGACTGATAAGGTATATGCATTGATACAGGTTGTGAATGCTAAGGCTGGAACTGTGAATAGCAAGTAGCAAGTGGATTTAAAAGACTCTGGTGCATAGATTAAAATTACTTCAAATTTTAGAATGTTTTCCCCTTCCCAAACTATATTTTTGGTATTAACTAGCTTGTGAAACTTTCCTGTGTTTAATGACATTAAGGCAATCGTGTTAACTTAATTGGGATTTTTAATATACAGTACTGTGAGATATCTTGGGCAGGATCCAACTAATGAGTCCTGTCAGTGAAAGCCCATGCAATGACTTCTGCTTGCATAAGTAAGCTTTTCCCCATCTACTCATGTGCACCCTTCTCCAAACAGGGTCAGTGTTTGTGTCAGGAGAACCACCAGAACAGTACATGGAAGGGAGGAGAAGGGGGATCATTTCATCTGCAGGGCTGGCTTGTCCATGAGGTGGACTGAGATAGATGCCTCAGGTAGCAGAATCCAAGGGGTAGCACTGCTGCATGCACCCTGCCCACTGCTGCTTCCAGGATCCAACAGGGTCTTGTAAGAGTCCTGCAACATCTCACAAGATCTCACTGGAAGCTACAGCCGCTTCTCCAATGCCACTCCAGGTACCCTGCCCATCCCCCACCGCAACTGCGGCTTCTGGTGAGATCTTGCATGAGCCCTGTGGAGCTCTTGTGGAGCTCTTGCGAGATCTCACCGGAACCCAGAAGTTGCCGCCATGTGACCCCAGTAAGTGAGGCTTTGGGGAGGCAGTGAGGGGGCATGAAGGGCAGCACTTCCCTGTTTCTCCTCAGGCGGCTAAACGGAACAGGCCGCCCCACCATCTGGCAAGCTGAAATGCTTGCCGTGATTAAACAGTTGATACAGCACAAGGCTAAATTGCTCCCCTTAGCTCAGGATGAGAAACATTGTTCATAAGATTAAGAACCAGAGGAGCAAAGGGTGCAGGAAATTGTAGAAAATATATTCTTCCTTTTTGTAGTGATTTCTCAGGCCCCAACTCCTTGCTTAGCCTTTTAATTGGCTAGGAGTGGTATACAGACATTCTTGGATCTGGCTACCTACTCCTAGACAACCATGGGGCACCTGATGCTAACAAGGCCTTCAGCTTGGGCTTAGTTGGTCAACCTGTGTTTCTCTTTGACACCTGTATTTTTCCTGATTTTCCTTCCTTTGATATGGACAGCTTATGCAGAGATGAAACCTAGACCATAACGATTCAAGAACAACAGTGGTCTCACTCTGTAAAGGGATAAATAGGGCAAGCTAGTTTAACTACTGAAAACAGCTTTGGTAAGCTTGACTCATTGCATTCATTTTTAATATTTGATGCCTTCAACACACCACAGGTTTAAATAACAGCTTATTGGATCATATGGATGAAATGTTGACTATTTTGTAAATTTTCCAGAAATGAACGAAGTGAACTACATTTTGAAAGAATCTGCCTTCTGAATAGCTTTGGATGGATTTGAAAGTGGATTAGATAGATTTGTGGAGGGTAAGGCTGTTGATGGCTATTAGTCATGGTGGCTATGTTCTACCACCACAGTTATAAGCAGTGTGGCTCTGAATATAAGTTTCTAAGAATCACAGGTGGGGAGAGTGCTGTTGCTCTCAGGCTCTGATTGTTGGTTTCCCATAGGCATCTGGTTGGCCACTGAGAACAGGCTGCTGGACTTGATATAGACCTTTGGTCTGGTTCAGCTGGTCTCTTCTTATGTACCTTGGCTTGGTCTTAAGGAATGGGAGGAGGTTATGTGATTCTTTAAGAGATAGTTCCTGAAGCTATACAAAAGGTAAAAGCAGCAGTGTTTGCTCATAAGAAGAATGAACCCAAAATCCGTATCAGGGCAATAACTTTATTAGGCCAACAGAAGTTTTTGCAAGCTTTTGAACTCTCCACAGCTGATCATCAGGCTAGATCAGGGTTTCCCAAACTTGGAAAACCCCAGCTAGTTTTGTACTATATTTCCCAGCATCCCGGCTACTGGTCCTGCTAGCTAGGGGTGATGGGAGTTGTAATCCAAAAACAGCTGGAGACCCAACTTTGGGAAACCTTGGGCTAGATGATAAATAAAGCAAAGTTGTGGGGAATTAGCTGCAGTTACTGCTTTTCCCTGAAGTGTTTGATGAGGAAGAAGGTAATGCTCCTACTTTCCTGCTCCTCATCACCTACCTTGATTGTTTCATTCTGTGGGTATGAATGCCCCCAAAATATGTAAGGTAGAGCTGGTTGCTGATTGGGGCCTTTAACTGTCAGAAATGGCAAGACCTCTGAAATGAAATAGTACTTAGGGGTTATCATTTTTCTAGTTTATTTTAAAGCACTCAGGTCAGGTGCATGAAATTATTTCTTATTAGGCATTCTCTAAATGTTCCTGTAGGCTGCCTAATTCACTAGCAGTACAACAGCTGTCACTCAACAGGGCAACTGAAAGTAAAGCAAGATCAAGGGTGATGCTGAGATTTGAGCTGACTGCACAATTTAAAAGAGACGCTAACTAGCAAATGCACGGAGATAAAAATAGTAACTCAACCTGTTAAGTAGTGCTGCCACCGCCTCTGGATTAGGTGGATGACTTGGGACAAACTAGATGCGACACAAGAGTTCTGTTTCATAGGAACGTAGGATGCTCAATAATGTCTACAGGGTTTTCTCTCAGTCCTATGTGAAGATGCCAGAGATTGGACCTGGACCTTCTGCATGCAAAGCAGATGCTCTACCAGGGAGCCATAGCCCTCCCCAAATATTGTCTAATCTGATCTGACTTGCATCTGCTCTCCAAGGTCTTTTCCACCACGTTACCATTGTTGGCATGCAACCAAGGAAAGGGGGACAATTGGCAGGCCCCCAGCTGGCTCCAGCCCACCGGCTGGTGTGCTGGGCGAACTCCAGTCCTTGGTGCAGCATGAATCTGCGACCCAAGCTTCAGAAGCTAGGGCACGCTACTTAGCAGAGTAAACGCTACGCAACAGAAGTGGCAGGAGAGGCTGTGTGAGCATATTTACAAGCAGTTTATTAAGCATAAATCAGCACAAAAGGAAACATGTCTGATCTCCTTTGTGTCCAAAGCAAGACAGCTAAAGCAAAAGCTATACACAAACGGAAGTTCCCAGCAAGCTGTCCTGGAGTGTAAACAGGCATGTGACATGCAACAATCCACACATCTGTTCTTAAGGTGAAACGGAATATCCCAACAACCTGAGCCCTTTCACAGGAGGTGTCTGGATGAAGGACTGTTCTAACTCCCTGCTCCATACTGTCCACTAAAAAATGCCTCCTGCTGATTTCCCACCCACAGAAGGAAAACATCCCTTCCAATACCTGTACCTTAAGCAGCCATTCCCCACCTGCCCATCCTCTGTTCACACAGGCAGCCTGCCATGGCTGCTTTTGGATGAAGACATCATGGAGGAAAGTAATGTGTAACTCCATACCATGTCTAATTTGGCTGTGAGCAGTCTCTGATGCAATTGGTTGAGAATCTTGTTACCAAATTGAAGAATCCCCGGAGTGCTGAATTTAGCTGGTGACATTCTTCTTTTTTTCCGGAGGTGGAGGTGAAAATGAAACTGTGAAGAATGAAGCAAAGGGTGTCAGGATGTATTATCTAGTGCCAGCAACTCAGCATTGTGAGTGAGACAGAAATAACAGCATGAGCAGCAATACTTGTACAGACAGTACCTGTCCAATAATAAATATATTATCCACACTTGAAGCCAGAAAAATAGTTTCATGCACTGTCAAATGTTTCACATATATATATACACACACACATATATTTCCAGGGAAAGTCAACATGGTGCCCTCAATATGTTTTGGATTATAACTTAGGGTTGCCGTATTTCAAAAAGTAAAAACCAGGAAACCACAAAAATTGCTGAGGGTCTGGAGGGCACCACATTGGCTATTCTATTTCAATATCAGGTCAAGTCTCTGAGTATCTTGTTTTTTTGTAGCCAAAAGAACTGCACTCATATACAAGAGCATAGTCATACCTAGGGATTGGCAAAACCAGCCCCCACTAGGGGTGCAGGCCCTGGTGTGCGTGCAAAACCCACTTACCAGGCATTGGAGTCCTCTTGCGACACCCACCCACCCACCCACACCCCGGCTCAGAATTCCAGCACTTGCTTTGCCTGCAGAAGGAACCTGCCAGGATCTCCAGCAGGAAAAGTTACTGTTGCAGCAGCTGCAGGAGGGGATGAAAAGGGGTCCTCAAGTGGATCCCAGGCAGAGAGCACTGTGGGCACCCTATCTAGCCTGAAGGAGACACCTTCCTACTGTCTAGGCACCCTCGCCTGCTTCTCATATTTTTTTTCCTGACGGGGGGGGGGGGGCAGTAATACAGCTCCTTGCCAAGGGACACCTTGGTATTCTTCTGCACAAGAGAAGGGCATTGACAGACTTCAGGGGAGGGAGGAATGCCTGAGATCTTCAGAAACAATTGCTTTGCTTTGTTTTGTTTTTAAGGTGAAATTCCTAAGGGGAGAACCCAAAACAATCAAGTGAGGACTCAGTGGGGATGGGATCCTAACTGATTATTGGGGGAGGGGGTGAGAAAAATAGGCAAGAAGGGGATAGAGAAACTGCAAAAGGAGGTGGTAGGAAAAGACACATATAATCTCATTGTCTGAATAAGTAATTTACTGATTCATTTTGAGAAGCTACAGCAGATGGCATGGTGATGGTGGCAGCTCCACTCAACTAACCTCCCAACAGCTGAGTCACTGCTGCTTAGTAGGAAGGAGAGTGAGGGGCGAGGCAGCAGGGTACTCTCACTCATCCATAGGAGGTCCCAAATGCCCACTAATTTCCATGCTTCCCATGTCCCACGCTGTTCCTCAAAGTCTGCTTTTTGGGGGGTATCTTGGGGTGTGGGTGGGCTGCAGCAGAAGAACGAATTGGGGAGCCTCATTCTGCAAACCCAAGTCTATTCATGGTTCTTAGGATGCAATAACAAGTTTATTATGAACATATGAAATTTCCTCATACAGAGTGGGCTGCCATAAATGGTTGATGGGCTGCAGTTAATCTGGTTATCTGTACATTTATACAGCAGGTGGACAGATTTCTGTCTTGTGGGATCTACTATTTAAAAAACTAGTACCCTGAAATCCACTAAGTGGAGCCAGGTGCAAAACATTGGAGCAGGTGAACAGACATATCCTAAGAACTAAGGAGCAGGCTGTTGCTGAACAACTGCTCAGCCCAGGAATTTGTCATCAGTACCAGAACCAATCTCACAAGCGCTTTAACACACAAATTCACTCTTTTTCAGCAAACTATCGGCAGTGAGGTGGAGAAAGCTTCTTTGCTGCTGCTATTGTTACATAATTAGGAGTCAGAAATCCTTGCTGATCTACTGCAAATGACCTGGAGATCTCCCATCACATTCAAAGCTGCCTTCTTCTCACCTCTCCCTTTATAGTATATCCCCCAGTAAACCACTCTCTTTCAAAATAGGAATCTTTCGACTTTTTCTGGCACCGCTGTGATGCAGGAGAAAGATGTTCATTAGCTTTGGTTTAATGGAGAGAAGCAGATAGCAGTCGAGAGAAAAGCTTTGGTGGCCAGACATAGCTGTCTAGAATGTGCGTGGCCCACGTAGAGGGCACGGGAATAGGCCAGTCTCCGTGAGGCAAAAGCCTCAGATCAATTTGCTCTGAGTCCAGGGAAGAACCTTGAGGGAGGCACCAAGGAAAGAATGGAAACAAGCTATGTTAAATGTGCATGTGCACAACTTGCAGTTTGATTCCAGTGTGGCTCTTGACAAGTAATTAATCCATCCCTAGTTAAAAAGAATTAAATGGGTTGTTTTGGAAGGTCATATGTATACAGTGGTACCTCGGGTTAAGTACTTAATTCGTTCCGGAGGTCCGTTCTTAACCTGAAAATGTTCTTAACCTGAAGCACCACTTTAACTAATGGGGCCTCCTGCTGCTGCCGTGCCGCCGGAGCACGATTTCTGTTCTCATCCTGAAGCAAAGTTCTTAATCCGAGGTACTATTTCTGGGTTAGCGGAGTCTGTAACCTGAAGCATATGTAACCCGAGGTACCACTGTATAGGAAACAGCATCAGCTTGAGAAACTTTCTCTGAGGAAGAGTTCTGGATAGCTTGAAAACTTGCACACTATTTTGGGATGTTGCGGTTGGCCTCATAAAGGCACTGCCCTGATATGGATTTTGGCATGTTAAGTTTCTCTTCTCAGTAAGCTTAAGCTCTTATTCCTCCCCCACCCCATTTTTTTCCTTTTCTCTTTACAGCCCAAACCTAAGCATCTTTAATCAGACATAAATCCCACCAAGTTCCATGCAACTCACTCCCAAGTAAGATTTCAGAAGATTGCTGCCTTAGCCTTTCAATTTAATTAAATGGGGTTTTCCCTCCTGTATTCGTCTTCTAACACACTCCTAGTAAAACAAAATACAAAGTTGTGGACCAATTACCATGCCTCGTGAACTTCATGTGTAATCCATGACTACCAGATCCCTGGTGGGTGATCAGTGTCTCATTCAGTGATGGATTATAGGCAACAGTCTTGGGCCTGTGTGCTTTGTGAAGTATGAACTATCATGTAAGATCCAGTCTTGGGATTAATGTTTGAAGTTGGATTTTCAGTAAATGGTCTGATAACACTGTGAAATAATAGTTATGTGTGTTTTTCCTTCCAACTGCTGGGACCAATTATGCGTGACTGTTCCACATTTTTTTGTTGGTAATCAAATCAAAGCTGCGGTTGAGTCATACATCACAGCTGAGATTCCCACTATGGAAAAAAAAAATCTGACCACAGTGACATTGTGCAGTCTGAGAACTTTGTATCTTTCATTGCATCCACTTGCACAGCTCTTTAAAAAAATAAAAAAAAAGAATGCCTGCGTGGTTGTAAAATATTCTGGTTTATCTGCGTGCCTTAATTGCTCCCATTGAATATGAGGAGCACAATGGGGCAACGACTTGAGACTTCCCTATGTTAAAAGAATCTTTGTTTAGGCAACAAAAGATTCATTCATCAAAAAAGCCTGCAAAACATTTGAGTGTTTGCTGTGTTAACCCTTTTAAATTCAGTTGTGCTGCTGCATTCTAGACTAATCTGTTGTCCTTTCTAGTACCTGAGGTTACTTTTCCTCAGCAACTGCTGATAAACAAAGCATTTACTGGTGACCTATGGAAGGTTGTTTAGCCGCATAGTTCTTATTTCTGCCTATTAAGCATTATTAATACCAGCAAAAAGTGCTTGAGTGCTTTGCAGATTGCTTTTCCTCGTTTTTCGAGAGTATCTGGCTTGACTCACTTGTGCAATCCACCTCAGTCTTTTTACCAATTTTTAACTTTTTTGCCAGCAGCTCTGCCATGAAATGCACTGTTAGCATCTGTCCCTGTCTTTTGCACGCATTCTGGGGACAAGAACTAAGTTAAGTCATAGGAGGATTGATGTTTCTGACAAGGTGAGGAGGGGGCCAGACTAGATGACCGCAGAACCTTTTTCAGCCCTTGCTTGTGTTCAGATTGGTTCACAGACAGTACCCCATTATTTGTTATTTGATCATATGACTACAGTCTTCCTGGGTCAGCCATGCCTATGGGTTCTATTTATAGCCCTGTAGCCACAACAAATCCTCTGAAATGTTGAGGAGGATGAGAAATGAATTATTTTTGTTTGCCACCTCCTTAACATTTAACATGCGGGTTTTCTCTTCTGCTATGTATCGGAAAACCTTGGTGGAATCAGACTGACTCCTGCATGCTGCCTTGGTCAGAAATTCCTGCTTAGTTCCAGTATTAGGCTTCAAGTGAGATGCTTTTATTTTTGTTTCTCCTAGAAGAGTACACAAGGGCGGGTGAGGGGTGAGAGAGGAAATACTGTCATTACTGGAAAGCCACTCTTTTTCCTTGCAAACAGCTGGTGCCTGTGTTAATAAACTCAAGGGCAACTGCTTGCACATAGAAAATCAAAAAGAAATGCTCTGTAGCTCTGTGAAAAATTTTCTGTGAAGCTTCTCTGTGTGTTTTGGGACTGATGCTTCTTCTGTTGCTGCTGACTGATGAATACAGGGGGAATGTGTCCTTGTTGATCCTTGTGGGCCTCTCAGCAGCTTTTTGTACTTATCAGCTCTGCAGGGATGGCCCTTCCATTAGTAAGATGAGGCATGTCACATCAGGTGGGGAATCTTTGGCCCACCAGATGTTGCTGAACTACAGCTCCCATCATCCTTGATTGTTGGCCATGCTTTCTGGGGCTGCTGGGAGTTCTCGTTAAGTAAACATTTGGTGGGACAAAAAAAAACCACAACTACCATCACTGTTCTAAGTAGTCTGGAACAGGGTGTATGGCATTTGAATCTGCTCAGTCCCTTATTTCTTCCTTAGAGGCCTTTCACCGGTACCCTACTTTTTGGGGTAAGGTAAGTGGCAAGTGGGGAAAGGGCCATTTCTTTGCTGGTGCCTCTGGATGCTCTTTCAGCTAACTAAGGTGGAATCTGCACACACATAAAAACCATTCCGAAAATTATTTTTTAAAAAGCGTTTTAAAAAATACATCCTATTTTCCATAAGGCTCACCATTGCCATCTAGTGCCACATTGTATATTGCACTTAAAACACACTTGAAACATTTTACGTGCAGCTGTATAGCTGAGTCCTAGGTCTAAGATGACTGTGCCTGATAATCTTATCTCTTGGTTATTCACTATTTATTTATTTATTTTTACTCTTGTCACCTTTAACATTGTTTCAGTTTACCTATCTTTGAACTGGGACTATGCTGAGTTTTTAAATTGGATTTCAAATATTGTAAGCCAGATAAAATGGTAATAAATGATTAAGACACTTTACATATAGATGCACTTCCCAAAAGTGATGCATATGTTATCCTTCCATAATTAAATTGTTTAATTAATCATTGCTGGATGACTTACCGGTGAATACGTGAACCAATGATGTGCTGCTGTAGATGGTATAAGCTCATGGGAAGGGTTCTGTCTGCAATGCTTGATCTGTGATGGCTCATACACAGATAATAATAATAATTTTTTATTTATACCCCGCCCTCCCCAGCCAAGGCCGGGCTCAGAGCGGCTTACAAACAATCATAAAAACAAGTTGAATGATTACAACTTAAAAACAAAATTAAAATACAACATTAAAATATTTAAACATTAAAATATTAAAATATAGCCTCATTGTAGGAGGAGAAGGAAAGGAAAAAAGAAAGAGAGGGAGGGAGGGAATCAAATTGGCTCCAAGCCAAAGGCCAGGCAGAACAACTCCGTCTTACAGGCCCTGCGGAAAGAAATCAGACCCATGATATTGCAATTGTCAAGTGTTGAATATGCATGTGTGAATGAGCTCATATTCTTTGACAAGAAGGGGAATTTTTATGACTGGATGAAGATAGAAAGAAAAGTAATACGCCACCTTAGCAAAATGTTTGCCTCTAAAATGCAACTTCAGAGTTAGCATGCAGAATTTCACACTTTTCTATATGGGAACCCATTTGGAAAAGATGCAGAAGAGGGGAAAACAAAACTTTTGGATAAGGTTATTATGCTCAAATGCAGGAATATGCAGCTGTCCCATATGGGGATTGAACCTGCAACCTGGGCCTTATCAGCACCACGCTCTATCCAACTGAGCTATCCAGATATATAACAATTAACCAATTCAATGTGTGGTCCTAGGGCTGTATTATTCCATTAGTGCAAGGACTTTATGGGAAAGGGATGTAGCTCAGTGGTGGAACATCTGCCTTGCATGCAGAAGATCCCAGCTTCAGTCCCTGGCATCTCCATGTATGGTCAGGAGAATTCCCTATTTGAAACCCTGGGAAGTCACTGCAGTCAGTGCAGACAGTACTGAGCTGGATAGACCAGTGGTCTGAGTCAGTATAAGGCAGCTTCCCATGTTTCTATGACTTCTGCTTATGCAGAAGTCTTCTTTCCCTGCATGCCACCTGAACTGCTCCACTGCCCAATCTGCTCTGGACTTCATTGGATACAACCCCTAATCTTCACCCTTAATGCCTTTTATTTATTTATTAGCTTCTTAAAATGTTTGCATTGTATATGTGCTGTGATTTAGCCAAGATGTCACATTCACTTGAAGCACTATATCGCATGATGTGTCAGTGCATACAGATGCCGCAAGCATGAGGAAATATTTCATATATTTTTTCAAAATACAGTGTTAGCAAGTGAGGACAATCTGAATCATTCTCCATGGACCACTTTTAACCCTTCTGTTCCCCCATTCACTTCTCATGAAGCCACCAGCAATTCAGAGGAAACATGAAGGACAGGCCTACCAATCCAAGCACTCCCTCTTCCCGATTGGTAGGCCTGCGTATTTTGAAAAAGTATTTCCGCATATGTGCAGCATTTAGTGCTTTCCCCCAGCCTTTCGAATCAAGTCACATTGGTCTTTCAGGTCCTTCTCAAGGTACCCTTTGGATAGGTTTAATATTTTGTGTGTTCATCCATGCAGGTTGTCCGAAAAGATGACTCAGATGGAGACACTCAGCTACCAGTCTCTGGAACCACTGCATCTCCTCCTAAGTGCTTTTTAATCTCATTTACATGACATTTGCTATAGTGCATGCTCTGTAAGAAAGCAAATGGTGTGTGTGATTCAAGCTTCCCAAATTCTACCTATTTGGCTTTGCTAAGAGATATCATGTTACTAATTACCAAATGTTTTACTAAGGCAGCTATCCAAACAATTTTTCATTTGATCATAATCCTGTGTTGTTTCTCCTTCTCTGGAAAGTCAGTCCTCACACTCCAGACTCTCAGGAAGTACAGTGGTACCTCGGGTTACATACGCTTCAGGTTACATACGCTTCAGGTTACAGACACCGCTAACCCAGAAATAGTGCTTCAGGTTAAGAACTTTGCTTCAGGATGAGAACAGAAATTGTGCTCCAGCGGCGTGGCAGCAGCAGGAGGCCCCATTAGCTAAAGTGGTACTTCAGGTTAAGAACAGTTTCAGGTTAAGTACGGACCTCCGAAGTGCAAGCTGAATTTCGAGGGGCAGAGGAACCAGAGACCAAATTGCAAACATGCGCTGGATTATGGAGAAAGCTAGAGAGTTCCAGAAAGACATCTACTTCTGCTTCATTGACTATGCAAAAGCCTTTGACTGTGTCGACCACAGCAAACTACGGCAAGTTCTTAAAGAAATGGGAGTGCCTGATCACCTCATCTGTCTCCTGAGAAATCTCTATGTGGGACAAGAAGCTACAGTTAGAACTGGATATGGAACAACTGATTGGTTCAAAATTGGGAAAGGAGTACAGCAAGGCTGTATATTGTCTCCCTGCTTATTTAACTTATATGCAGAATTCATCATGCGAAAGGCTGGGCTGGATGAATCCCAAGCCGGAATTAAGATCGCCGGAAGAAATATCAACAACCTCAGATATGCAGATGACACAACCTTGATGGCAGAAAGTGAGGAGGAATTAAAGAACCTTTTAATGAGGGTAAAAGAGGAGAGCACAAAATATGGTCTGAAACTCAACATCAAAAAAACGAAGATCATGGCCACTGGTCCCATCACCTCCTAGCAAATAGAAGGGGAAGAAATGGAGGCAGTGAGAGATTTTACTTTCTTGGGCTCCATGATCACTGCAGATGGTGACAGCAGTCACGAAATTAAAAGACGCCTGCTCCTTGGGAGAAAGGCGATGGCAAACCTAGACAGCATCTTAAAAAGCAGAGATATCACCTTGCCAACAAATGTCCGTATAGTTAAAGCTGTGGTTTTCCCAGTAGTGATGTATGGAAGTGAGAGCTGGACCATAAAGAAGGCTGATCACCGAAGAATTGATGTTTTTAAATTATGGTGCTGGAGGAGACTCTTGAGAGTCCCATGGACTGCAAGAAGATCAAGCGCATCCATTCTTAAGGAAATCAGCCCTGAGTGTTCACTGGAAGGACAGATCGTGAAGCTGAGGCTCCAATACTTTGGCCACCTCATGAGAATAGAAGACTCCCTGGAAAAGACCCTGATGTTGGGAAAGATTGAGGGCACAAGGAGAAGCGGACGACAGAGGATGAGATGGTTGGACAGTGTTCTCGAAGCTACAAACATGAGTCTGACCAAACTGCGGGAGGCAGTGGAAGACAGGAGTGCCTGGCGTGCTCTGGTCCATGGGGTCACGAAGAGTCGGACACAACTAAATGACTAAACAACAACAACGGACCTCCGGAACGAATTAAGTACTTGACCCGAGGTACCACTGTAGTTGTCTTTTCCAGACTTCCAACATCTAAGCTCCCTTCCCTTCCTTCTGTGCTTCCACTTCAGCTGGATGTGCGGTGCTCAGCTAGTGACCCTGTTTGGTTTTCTCCATCCTTTTTGGATGAGTTAGGTCCAGTTGTAAAATCTGCTTGATTTAGAGTTCATCCCCCCCACCCTAAGCATTTTCTCTCTCTAGAAATAAGCCTCATTAAGGCCAGTAGGGTTTACTCCCTCATAAACCTTGCAGCGCCTAGTTTCACTTGTGAATATGAAAAATCAACCCTGATTATGGTTCTGAGTTGAACAAGGATGGCTTTCCCGGGGCACACTTTGGACAGGGGACTGCTTTCTTCATGTAAGGCTGGAAATTGGCTACTGAAGGTGGACTCTGGAGGCAGGGAACTATCAACCTTTGTATTTATTTTTTTGGCTACATACACATCCCACTTTGAATTGCTCAGAGCAGCTTACATTTGTACACAGACTCTCATGCAACCTATTTAGCTTCAGGAATAGAGCCCAACCACTGCATTGGCCAATTTTTGCACTGGGCAGCTTTGGCCATCTGCATATAATACAGTAATGTTGCCTAATTTGAACTCAACTTCAATTTTAACTCTTCAATGAAAGGTCTACAGGGCATGTGGAGAGAGGTGGGATGAAACATCTAGATCTACTGATACAGCTTGGGGTGATTTGAGGTTTCATTTTTTTCCTAATGCATTTACAAGCCACAGTCAGCATTACCTTCAAACCACAAGATAATTTGAATTATAGGAATTTGTAGCTTTCTGATTCTGTTTTACTACAGGCTCTCTACCAGGATTTAATCAGAAAGAAGTAGCAGCTTCAGTTTCAACTTCCACTTCCCACAAGAGCCAGCAGAGGGTGTCTGGTTCTCTGTATGTGTGTGAGAACATAATTCAAGTTCATTAGCAGGGCAGAAGAGAAATTCTGGTTCACATTTAATTCCATGAAGGCAGAATCATAGAGTTGGAGGGGACCCTGAGGATCATCTAGTCCAGCCCCTGGCAATGCAGGAATATGCAGCTGTCCCTTATGGGGATTGAACCTGTAACCTTAACAGCTTTGGAATTATCAGCACCATGCTCTAGCCAACTGAGCTACTCAGCTTCTACAAGGAATTATTGTAGAACAAAAAGAAATGTGAAACACAAAAACGAGAGGGGACCAGAGGATGGAGAATAGGAGGAACAGAAACAGATACTACTGAAGTCATTATTGTTGTTATCATCATCATCATCATCATTATTATTATAAAAACACTTCCAATTGTGATAGCAAGAAGGCAGTTTCAAAATGCTATTCATAAGGTATCTGAAGTGGTTTTTGTTTTTTTAAAAAAGCAGGTATATATGTCTGGATAAAACCCAGGTATAGCATTATCTAAAAAATATTTTTATCAACAATTTCCAGAGGAGTAGGCTCTCTAGAGGTTTGCCCATAGGGGAATGTGGTTCTTCAGTGCTGCTAAGGCTTCACCGCTGGAGGTGCCCTCCTTTGTCTCTCTAGACAGGCAGATGACACTCTGACAGTGACAACAGCATTGTAACAATTCACAGTGCTGTCGCTGCAGAAAAAACAAGTCTTGTGACACATTAAAGACAGCACGTTGGAATAGAATAAAACTTTGTTGCTTAAAGCCATAGGCCCCACAATATAAATACACTGAACAATCAATTTAACATATTCAGCAAACAAATATACATACAGAAATAAAAATCATACTAACATACTGAGCGTTTGCATCTGATAACGTGGACTCAAATCTTTGTATCATGAATGTGTCATCATGAATTCATTTGTCTTTAAGGTGCTACAGGTGTATTAGTTGGCTCTGCAATAACAGCTTATCAGACAAAAGTGAGCAAGAGGAATCAATAGGTACAATTCATGAGAAGCCAGTGAGGGTTAGTCAGACATCGACATAGCTAAATCGAGCACAGTAATGAAATGATTCAGGTGGGAGAGGAGGCTCAGCATCAACACCTGCTTGAACTGGGAGCGGGGTGTTGGTTGTTTGCAGTCTAAATATGCAATGAATGTACATCCAGAAAGGCCTCCGTCTGCTATTTTACCATTGTACTACCAACCCAGTGTACCTGAAGGAGCGTCTCCACCCTCATCGTTCTGCCCGGACACTGAGGTCCAGCACCAAGGGCCTTCTAGCGGTTCCCTCACTGCGAGAAGCAAAGCTACAGGGAACCTGGCAGAGGGCCTTTTTGGTAGTGGCGCCCGCCCTGTGGAATGCCCTCCCATCAGATGTCAAATAGATAAACAACTACCTGTCATTTAGAAGACATCTGAAGGCAGCCCTGTTCAGGGAAGTTTTTAATGTGTGACATTTTAATGTATTTTTAGTCTTTGTTGGAAGCCGCCCAGCCAGATGGGAGGGGTACAAATAATAAATTATTATTATTATTATTATTATTATTATTATTATTATTATTATTACCCACCATCTCCATTCTCCAATCTCTAGAAATGGTCAGCCCTACCAACTTTGCAGGGGGAAATTCCCCAATATTG